AGGGCCCCACCCCCAGGAGAATACACTACAGGGCCCCACCCCTAGGAGAATACACTACAGGGCCCCACCCCCAGGAGAATACACTACCGGGCCCCACCCCCAGGAGAATACACTACCGGGCCCCACCCCCAGGAGAATACACTACAGGGCCCCACCCCCAGGAGAATACTCTCCACCCCCAGGGGGCTCACGGTGTCACAATGGTCTGTTTGTGGGCTGGTTCCGTGTTGTTGATGGGCTGATGTGGGAATCGGGTGTTTCTGGGGGTCGGGGAATGGATTCCAGCGAGTTCATACTCCACGCACTATGGATGACGCGGGCCGGCGATGGGGCACATTAGTGATTCATTTGCGCTTTTCTGCCGGTTAATTAAATGACTCATCTGGAGTCGGACAGTCATGTACGCTTCTCCGGCACTTGTTAGTACTCCTGACAAAGTGCGGATTGGCCCCGGCGCGGAGATAAGCAGACACGGCTGACAGGAGTGCGCTGATTGTAGCATCGCCGGTGATCTGCGCTGCTCCCGCCGCCGTACAGTAAACAGCCTCATTAGAGGGAGCCGCTCCCCCGAGCCAAAGTGTGTTTGACATTATTAATTGGCTTTTCTGTAAAACGAGTCAAATAGATGAAAAGGTTTATCAAGCTGAAATAATTAATTTTGCCGGAATTTGCTGACAGTCCAGTTCCCGCTTGCGGCCGTTTTCACGCCGTATTCTTCCTGCGCTTCACATTTCCAAAGACATAATAACCGCAAATCTGCAGCATTTTAGTAAAATTATAATTAGAGGGAATTTAATTAAATTGGAATGGAGGAAATGGGAGCGGAGCCGCTATCTCGCCTTATCCAGAGTCCTCGGCGGGCGGGAATCGCGGGGTTAATGCGCCTTTAATTTCAATGCAATCAGCCTGCAATAAAAAAAAGGTAATTACATGGCGAGTGGTGGGAGGGGTCCCGGGGGGCCGCGCTGAGAGCCGCGTACAATCCACCGCCGCGGGAGGAGAGACGCGGCTTCCACCGCAGAGTGACAGCCGGAGAATTCACCAGACACCCCAAATATTCTCCGACCAGAACCCAATCCCACCCGATCCAGGGGTCAGAACTCCAGACAGACACCCCCAAATATTCTCCGACCAGAACCCAATCCCACCCGATCCAGGGGTCAGAACTCCAGAGTGACACCCCAAATATTCTCCCGACCAGAACCCAATCCCACCCGATCCAGGGGTCAGAACTCCAGAGTGACACCCCCAAATATTCTCCGACCAGAACCCAATCCCACCCGATCCAGGGGTCAGAACTCCAGACAGACACCCCCAAATATTCTCCGACCAGAACCCAATCCCACCCGATCCAGGGGTCAGAACTCCAGACAGACACCCCCAAATATTCTCCGACCAGAACCCAATCCCACCCGATCCAGGGGTCAGAACTCCAGAGTGACACCCCAAATATTCTCCGACCAGAACCCAATCCCACCCGATCCAGGGGTCAGAACTCCAGAGTGACACCCAAATATTCTCCGACCAGAACCCAATCCCACCCGATCCAGGGGTCAGAACTCCAGAGTGACACCCCAAATATTCTCCGACCAGAACCCAATCCGACCCGATCCAGGGGTCAGAACTCCAGAGTGACACCCCAAATATTCTCCAATCACGCAGAACCCAATCCGACCCGATCCAGGAGTCAGAACTCCAGAGTGACACCCCAAATATTCTCCGACCAGAACCCAATCCGACCCGATCCAGGGGTCAGAACTCCAGAGTGACACCCCAAAATATTCTCCGACCAGAAACCAATCCGACCCGATCCAGGGGTCAGAACTCCAGAGTGACACCCCAAATATTCTCCGACCAGAACCCAATCCCACCCGATCCAGGGGTCAGAACTCCAGAGTGACACCCCAAATATTCTCCGAACAGAACCCAATCCGACCCGATCCAGGAGTCAGAACTCCAGAGAGACACCCCAAATATTCTCCAATCACACAGAACCCAATCCGACCCGATCCAGGGGTTAGAACTCCAGAGTGACACCCCAAATATTCTCCGACCAGAACCCAATCCGACCCGATCCAGAGGTCAGAACTCCAGACAGATCCCCCAAATATTCTCCGACCAGAACCCAATCCGACCCGATCCAGGGGTTAGAACTCCAGAGAGACACCCCAAATATTCTCCGACCAGAACCCAATCCGACCCGATCCAGAGGTCAGAACTCCAGACAGATCCCCCAAATATTCTCCGACCAGAACCCAATCCGACCCGATCCAGGGGTCAGAACTCCAGAGAGACACCCCAAATATTCTTCAATCACACAGAACCCAATCCGACCCGATCCAGGAGTCAGAACTCCAGAGTGACACCCCCAAATATTCTCCGACCAGAACCCAATCCGACCCGATCCAGGGGTCAGAACTCCAGAGTGACACCCCAAATATTCTTCAATCACACAGAACCCAATCCGACCCGATCCAGGAGTCAGAACTCCAGAGTGACACCCCCAAATATTCTCCGACCAGAACCCAATCCGACCCGATCCAGGGGTCAGAACTCCAGAGTGACACCCCAAATATTCTCCGACCAGAACCCAATCCGACCCGATCCAGGGGTCAGAACTCCAGAGTGACACCCCAAATATTCTCCAATCACGCAGAACCCAATCCGACCCGATCCAGGGGTCAGAACTCCAGAGTGACACCCCAAATATTCTCCGACCAGAACCCAATCCGACCCGATCCAGGGGTCAGAACTCCAGAGTGACACCCCAAATATTCTCCAATCACACAGAACCCAATCCAACCCGATCCAGAGGTCAGAACTCCAGACAGATCCCCCAAATATTCTCCGACCAGAACCCAATCCGACCCGATCCAGGGGTCAGAACTCCAGAGTGACACCCCAAATATTCTTCAATCACACAGAACCCAATCCGACCCGATCCAGGGGTTAGAACTCCAGAGAGACACCCCAAATATTCTTCAATCACACAGAACCCAATCCGACCCGATCCAAGGGTCAGAACTCCAGAGTGACACCCCCATATATTCTCCAATCACACAGAACTCCATCCGACCCAATCCAGGAGTCAGAACTCCAGAGAGACACCCCAAAATATTCTCCAACCACACAGAACCCCATCTGACCCGATCTCTAGAGGTCAGAACTCCAGAATGACACCCCAAAATATTCTCCAACCACACAGAACCCCGTCTGACCAGATCCAGGAGTCAGAACTCCAGAGAGACACCCCCCAAATATTCTCCAATCACACAGAACCCCGTCTGACCCAATCCAGAGGTCAGAACTCCAGAGAGACACCCCCAAATATTCTCCAATTACACAGAACTCCATCCGACCCAATCCAGGAGTCAGAACTCCAAAGTGACACCCCCAAATATTCTCCAATCATACAGAACTCCATCCGACCCAATCCAGGAGTCAGAACTCCAGAGAGACACCCCCAAAATATTCTCCAACCACACAGAACCCCATTAGTCCTGATCTAGAGGTCAGAACTCCAGAATGACACCCCAAAAAATATTCTCCAACCACACAGAACCCCGTCTGACCAGATCCAGGAGTCAGAACTCCAGAGAGACACCCCCAAATATTCTCCAATCACACAGAACCCCCGTCTGACCCCGATCCAGAGGTCAGAACTCTAGAGAGACACCCCAAATATTCTCCAACCAGAACCCAATCCAACCTGATCCAGGGGTCGGAACTCCAGAAAGACACCCCCAAATATTCTCAAAACCGCACGGAGGAACACCGTCCGACCCGATCCAGGGGTCAGAACTCCAGAGACACCCCAAATATTCTCCAACCAGAACCCCAATCCAACCTGATCCAGGGGTCGGAACTCCAGAAAGACACCCCCAAATATTCTCAAACCGCACGGAACACACCGTCCGACCCGATCCAGGGGTCAGAACTCCAGAGACACCCCCAAATATTCTCCAACCACACACAGAACCCGAAGAGGTCAGGTCTTCGATGTAAAACATCTGCATGAGATAACACGATGGATTGGGAAGATTTTCCAGCATGCTGGGTGACCTGAAAAATCTGCTGGAGGGTCAGCAAAAAGCTTTTGGGATGGTTTATTCGAATTCCAGGAATTCTAGGATCCAAGTCTGTCCATCCCAGGGGGCCCGCCCACCCTATCCAGGGGCCCGCCCATCCCGTCCATGTACAGAGAATTGCGCGTTTTGGGTGTCGGGAGCCCCTCTACAGGTTGTCAGGTTATCCTGCGCCGGGCGACCACATTGGCCACGGAGGGGATTTATACTCCTTATGGGGGCCGCGCTGTGACTCCTCCAACTGCCTTGTGTGAAGAGACTCCTATGTTCCTCCTGCCTGCTACCGTCCTGGATTGCCCTGCCCATGTCTCCTGTCCCCATTGCCTCTTCCTGACCATTCCTACCTACCTACCCCAACCTCTGCCTGGACACTGACCATTCCTACCTACCTACCCCAACCTCTGCCTGGGCACTGAACCATTCCTACCTACCTACCTCAACCTCTTGCCTGGACACGGACCATTCCTACCTACCTACCCCAACCTCTGCCTGGGCACTGACCATTCCTACCTACCTACCTCAACCTCTGCCTGGACACTGACCATTCCTACCTACCTACCTCAACCTCTGCCTGGACACTGACCATTCCTACCTACCTACCCCAACCTCTGCCTGGACACTGACCATTCTACAAGAAGTACCCTAGTGCAGTTGGGTCGGTTCCGTTACATTGGTGCAGTCTGGTTCCGTTACATTGGTGCGGTCTGGGTCCGGTTCCGTTACATTGGTGCAGTCGGGGTCAGTTCCGTTACATTGGTGCAGTCGGGGTCGGTTCCGTTACATTGGTGCAGTTAAGGGTGGTTCCGTTACATTGGTGCAGTCTGGGTCGGTTCCGTTACATTGGTGCAGTCGGGGTCCGGTTCCGTTACATTGTTGCAGTCGGGGTCGGTTCCGTTACATTGGTGCAGTCTGGGTCGGTTCCGTTACATTGGTGCAGTTGGGGTCGGTTCCGTTACATTTGTGCGGGTCTGGGTCCGGTTCCGTTACATTGGTGGCAGTTGGGGTCGGTTTTGCCGTTACATTGGTGCAGTCGGGGTCGGTTCTGTTACATTGGTGCAGTCTGGGGGTTCGGTTCTGTTACATTGGTGCAGTCTGGGTTGGTTCTGTTACATTGGTGCAGTCTGGGTCGGTTCTGTTACATTGGTGCAGTCTGGGTTGGTTCTGTTACATTGGTGCAGTCTGGTTCCATTACATTGGTGCAGTCGGGGTCGGTTCTGTTACATTGGTGCAGTCGGGGTCGGTTCTGTTACATTGGTGCAGTCAGGGTCGGTTCCGTTACATTGGTGCAGTCTGGTTCCGTTACATTGGTGCAGTCGGGGTTCGGTTCTGTTACATTGGTGCAGTCGGGGTTCGGTTCCGTTACATTGGTGCAGTCTGGGTCGGTTCCGTTACATTGGTGCAGTTGGGGTCGGTTCCGTTACATTTGTGCGGTCTGGGTCCGGTTCCGTTACATTGGTGCAGTTGGGGTCGGTTCCGTTACATTGGTGCAGTGTGGGTCGGTTCTGTTACATTGGTGCAGTCTGGGTTGGTTCTGTTACATTGGTGCAGTCTGGTTCCATTTCCGTACATTGGTGCAGTCGGGGTCGGTTCTGTTACATTGGTGCAGTCAGGGTCGGTTCCGTTACATTGGTGCAGTCTGGTTCCGTTACATTGGTGCAGTCGGGGTCGGTTCTGTTACATTGGTGCAGTCGGGGTCGGTTCCGTTACATTGGTGCAGTCCGGGGTCTGTTTCCGTTACTATGGTGTGGTCTGGGTCCGGTTCCGTTACATTGGTGCGGTCTGGGTCTGTTTCCGTTACATTGGTGCGGTCTGGTTCCGTTACATTGGTGCAGTCGGGGTCGGTTCCGTTACATTGGTGAAGTCTGGGTTCCGGTTCCGTTACATTGGTGCAGTCTGGGTCGGTTCCGTTACATTGGTGGCAGCGGTGGGATTGTTCTTCCAAGCTGTGAACACATCCAAACCACCATCAGGATCCAAGATCAGGAAAGGAGACGTCGGTCCCCCCAGGGGAGATATGGACCTGACATAGGCCGGTTCCGTTACATTGGTGCGGTCTGGGTCTGTTTCCGTTACATTGGTGCGGTCTGGTTCCGTTACATTGGTGCGGTCTGGGTCCGGTTCCGTTACATTGGTGCAGTCGGGGTCAGTTCCGTTACATTGGTGCAGTCGGGGTCGGTTCCGTTACATTGGTGCAGTTAAGGGTGGTTCCGTTACAATGGTGCAGGTCTGGGTCGGTTCCGTTACATTGGTGCAGTCGGGGTCGGTTCCGTTACATTGTTGCAGTCGGGGTCGGTTCCCCGTTACATTGGTGCAGTCTGGGTCGGTTCCGTTACATTGGTGCAGTTGGGGTCGGTTCGTTACATTTGTGCGGTCTGGGTCCGGTTCCGTTACATTGGTGCAGTCTGGGTCGGTTCCGTTACATTGGTGCAGTTGGGGTCGGTTCCGTTACATTTGTGCGGTCTGGGTCCGGTTCCGTTACATTGGTGCAGTTGGGGTCGGTTCCGTTACATTGGTGCAGTCGGGGTCGGTTCTGTTACATTGGTGCAGTCTGGGTCGGTTCCTGTTACATTGGTGCAGTCTGGGTTGGTTCTGTTACATTGGTGCAGTCTGGGTCGGTTCTGTTACATTGGTGCAGTCTGGGTTGGTTCTGTTACATTGGTGCAGTCTGGTTCCGTTACATTGGTGCAGTCGGGGTCGGTTCTGTTACATTGGTGCAGTGGGGGTCGGTTCTGTTACATTGGTGCAGTCAGGGTCGGTTTCCGTTACATTGGTGCAGTCTGGTTCCGTTACATTGGTGCAGTCGGGGTCGGTTCTGTTACATTGGTGCAGTCGGGGGTCGGTTCCGTTACATTGGTGCAGTCTGGGTCGGTTCCGTTACATTGGTGCAGTCTGGGTCTGTTTCCGTTACATTGGTGGGGTCGGTTCCGTTACATTTGTGCGGTCTGGGTCCGGTTCCGTTACATTGGTGCAGTCTGGGGTCGGTTTCCGTTACATTGGTGCAGTGTGGGTCGGTTCTGTTACATTGGTGCAGTCTGGGTTGGTTCTGTTACATTGGTGCAGTCTGGTTCCATTACATTGGTGCAGTCGGGGTCGGGTTCTGTTACATTGGTGCAGTCAGGGTCGGTTTCCGTTACATTGGTGCAGTCTGGTTTCCGTTACATTGGTGCAGTCGGGGTCGGTTCTGTTACAGGTGCAGTCGGGGTCGGTTCCGTTACATTGGTGCAGTCTGGGTCTGTTTCCGTTACATTGGTGTGGTCTGGGTCCTGGTTCCGTTACATTGGTGCGGTCTGGGTCTGTTTCCGTTACATTGGTGCGGTCTGGGTTCCGTTACATTGGTGCAGTCGGGGTCGGTTCCGTTACATTGGTGAAGTCTGGGTTCCGGTTCCGTTACATTGGTGCAGTCTGGGTCGGTTCCGTTACATTGGTGCAGCGGTGGGATTGTTCTTCCAAGCTGGTGAACACATCTGGGTCCGTTTCCACCATTGGGCCAAGATCAGGAAAGGAGACGTCCGTTACCCCCAGGGGAGTATGGACATGACATAGGCAGTCGGTTCCGTACATTGGTGCGGTCTGGGTCTGTTTCCGTTACATTGGTGCACGTGCGGTCTGGTTCCGTTACATTGGTGCGGTCTGGGTTGGGGTCGGTTTCCGTTACATTGGTGCGGTCTGGTTTCCGTTACATAGGTTCCGTTACATTGGTGCAGTTGGGGGTCGGTTTCCGTTACATTGGTGCAGTTCGGGGTCTGGTTCCGTTACATTGGTGCGCAGTCGGGGTCGGTTCCGTTACTATTGGTGCAGTCGGGGTCTGGTTCCCGTTACATTGGTGCAGTCGGGCGGTCCGTTACATTGGTGCGGTCTGGGTCGGTTTTCCGTTACATTGGTGCGGTCTGGTTCCGTTACATTGGTGCGGTCTGGGTGCAGTCTGGGTCCGGTTCCGTTACATTGGTGCGTTGGGTCTGGTTCCGTTACATTGGTGCAGTCTGGGTCGGTTCCGTTTACATTGGTGGTGCACCTATTGGGTCGGGGTCGGTCCAAGTTTTCCGTTACATTGGTGCAGTCGGGTCGGTTCCGTTACATTGGTGCAGTGCGGGGGTCCGGTTTCCGTTACATTGGTGCGTCGGGTCGGTTCCGTTACATTGGTGCAGTCGGGTCGGTTCCGTTACATTGGTGCGGTTACATGGGGGTCGGTTCCGTTACATTGGTGCGGTTGGGTCCGGTTCCGTTACATATGGTGCGGTCGGGGTTCGGTTCCGTTACATTGGTGCGGTCTGGGTCGTTTCCGTTACATTGGTGCGAGTCTGGTTCCGTTACATTGGTGCGGTCTGGGTTGGTGCAGTCTGGGTTCCGTTCCGTTACATTGGTGCAGTCGGTGCGGTCTCGGTTCCGTTACATTGGTGCGGTCTGGGTCGGTTCCGTTACATTGGTGCAGTTGGGGTCGGTTTTTTCGTTACATTGGTGCAGCAGTCGGGGGTCGGTTCCGTTACATTTGGTGCAGTCGGGGTCGGTTCCAGTTACATTGGTGCAGTCGGGGTCGGTTTCCGTTACATTGGTGCAGTCGGGGTCGGTTCCGTTACATTGGTGCAGTCGGGGTCGGTTCCGTCTGGGTTCGGTACATTGGTGCAGTCGGGGTCGGTTCCGTTACATTGGTGCAGTCTGGGGTCCGGTTCCGTTACATTGGTGCAGTCTGGGTCTGGTTCCGTTACATTGGTGCGGTCTGGTTCCGGTTTACCTGTTACATTGGTGCAGTCTGGTCGTTCCGTTACATTGGTGCAGTCGGGGTCGGTTCCGTTACATTGGTGCAGTCTGGGTCCGGTTCCGTTACATTGGTGCAGTCGGGTCGGTTCCGTTACATTGGTGCAGTCTGGGTCGGTTCCGTTACATTGGTGCAGTCGGGTCGGTTCCGTTACATTGGTGCAGTCGGGGTCGGTTCCGTTACATTCTTTGGTGCACATTGTGCAGTCGGGTCGGTTCTGTTACATTGGTGCAGTCTGCTGGGTCGGTTCCATTACATTGGTGCAGTCGGGGTCGGTTCCGGTTACATTGGTGCAGTCGGGGGTCGGTTCTGTTGGTGCATTGGTGCAGTCAGGGTCGGTTCCGTTACATTGGTGCAGTCTGGTTCCGTTACATTGGTGCAGTCGGGGTCGGTTCTGTTACATTGGTGCAGTCGGGGCGGGTCGGTTCCGTTACATTGGTGCAGTCTGGTCGGTTCTGTTACATTGGTGCAGTCGGGTCGGTTCCGTTACATTGGTGCAGTCTGGGTCGGTTCCGTTACATTGGTGCAGTCTGGGGTCGGTTCCGTTTACATTTGTGCGTCTGGGTCGGTTCCGTTACATTGGTGCAGTTGGGGTCGGTTCCGTTACATTGGTGCAGTGTGGGTCGGTTCCGTTACATTGGTGCAGTCTGGGTCGGTTCCGTTACATTGGTGCAGTCTGGGTTGGTTCTGTTACATTGGTGCAGTCTGGTTCCGTTACATTGGTGCAGGGGTCGGTGGGTTGGTTCTGTTACATTGGTGCAGTCAGGGTCGGTTCCGTTACATTGGTGCAGTCTGGTTCCGTTCCCGTTACATTGGTGCAGTCGGGGTCGGTTCTGTTCTACATTGGTGCAGTCGGGGTCGGTCGGTTACATTCCGTTACGTTACATTGGTGCAGTCGGGTCTGTTTCATTGTACATCGGTGGTTACATTGGTGCAGTCTGGTTCCGTTACATTGGTGCAGTCGGGTCGGTTCCGTTACATTGGTGCAGTCTGGGTCGGTTCCGTTACATTGGTGCAGTCTGGGTCGGTTCCGTTACATTGGTGCGGTCTGGGTCCGTTTCCGTTACATTGGTGCGGTCTGGTTGGTTCCGTTACATTGGTGCAGTCCGGGTCGGTTCCGTTACATTGGTGCAGTCTGGGTCGGTTCCGTTACATTGGTGCAGTCTGGGGTCCGGTTCCGTTACATTGGTTGGCAGTCGGTGGGTCCGTTCTTCCACATTGGTGCAGTCGGGGTCGGTTCCGTACATCCAAACCACCAGTCAGGTTCCGTTACATTGGTGCAGTCTGGGGTCGGTTCCCAGTGACATTGGTGCATGACATAGGTCGGTTCCGTTACTATTGGTGCAGTCTGGGTCCGGTTCCGTTACATTGGTGCAGTCTGGGTCGGTTTCCGTTACATTGGTGCAGTCGGCTGTGGTCTGGTTCCGTTACATTGGTGCAGTCTGGGTCCGTTTCCGTTACATTGGTGCAGTCTGGTTCCGTTACATTGGTGCGGTCTGGGTCGGTTCCGTTACATTGGTGCAGTTGGTCTGGTTCCGTTACATTGGTGCAGTCGGGGTCGGTTCCGTTACATTGGGATGTTCTGGGTCCGGTTCCGTTACATTGGTGCAGTCGTGGGTTCCGTTACATTGGTGCAGTCTGGGGTCCTTGTGGGTGCAGTCTGGGTCGGTTCCGTTACATTGGTGCGGTCTGGTTCCGTTACATTGGTGCTTCTGGGGTCGTTACATTGGTGCAGTCTGGGGTCTGGTTTCGTTACATTGGTGCAGCGGTCGGGTCCGTTACATTGGTGCAGTCGGGGTCGGTTCCGTTACATTGTGCGGTCTGGTTCCGTTACATTGGTGCAGTCGCAGTCTTCCGTTACATTGGTCGGGGTTCCGTTACATTGTTGCAGTGGGGTCGGTTGGTGCAGTCTGGTTTTCCGTTACATTGGTGCAGTCGGGGTCGGTTCCGTTACGTTACATTGGTGCAGGTCGGGGTCGGTTCCGTTACATTGGTGCAGTCGGGGTCGGTTCCGTTACATTGGTGCAGTCTGGGGTCGGTTTTCCGTTACATTGGTGCAGTCTGGGTCCCGGTTCCGTTACATTGGTGCAGTCTGGGTCGGTTTTTCCGTTACACATTGGTGCGGTCTGGGTCGGTTCCGTTACATTGGTGCAGTCTGGGTCGGTTCCGTTACATTGGTGCAGTCTGGGTCGGTTCCGTTACATTGGTGCAGTCGGGGTCGGTTCCGTTACATTGGTGCTCAGTCAGGGTCGGTTCCGTTACATTGGTGCAGTCGGGGTCGGTTCCGTTACATTGGTGCAGTCTGGGGTCGGTTCCGTTACATTGGTGCAGTCGGGTCGTCGCAGTCGGGGTCGGTTCCGTTACATTGGTGCAGTCGGGGTCGGTTCCGTTACATTGGTGCGGTCTGGTCGGTTCCGTTACATGGTGCAGTCGGGTCGGTTCCGTTACATTGGTGCAGTTGTTGGTTCCGGGGTCCGGGTCGGTTCCGTTACATATTGGTGCAGTCGGGTCGGTTCCGTTACATTGGTGCAGTCGGGGTCGGTTTCCGTTACATTGGTGCAGTCTGGGTCGGTTCCGTTACATTGGTGCAGTTGGGTCGGTTCCGTTACATTGGTCTGGTTCCGGTTCCGTTACATTGGTGCAGTCGGGTCGGTTCCGTTACATTGGTGCAGTCTGGTTCCGTTCATTGGTGCAGTCGGTTCCGTTACATTGGTGCAGTCAATTGGGTCGGTTCCGTTACATTGGTGCAGTCTTGGGTTCCGGTTCCGTTACATTGGTGCAGTCTGGTCGGTTCCGTTACATTGGTGCAGTTGGTCGGTTCACATTAGGTTGCGGTCAGGGTCGGTTCCGTTACATTGGTGCAGTCGGGTCGGTTTCCGTTACATTGCAGTGGTGCAGTCGTTCTATTGGTCGGTTCCGTTACATTGGTGCAGTCTGGGGTCGGTTCCGTTACATTGGTGCAGTCTGGGTCGGGTCTGGTTTCATTACATTGGTGCATTGTCTGTCGGGTCGGTTCCGTTACATTGGTGCAGTCTGGGTGCAGTCCGGTCGGGTTTCCGTTACATTGGTGCAGTCTGGGTCGGTTCCGTTACATTGGTGCAGTCGGGGTCGGTTCCGTTACATTTGGTGCAGTCGGGTCGGTTCCGTTACATTGGTGCAGTCTGGGTCGGTTCCGTTACATTGGTGCAGTCGGGTCGGTTCCGTTACATGGTGCGTCGGGGTCGGTCCGTTACATTGGTGCAGTCGATCTAGGGGTCGGTTCCGTTACATTGGTGGGTGTCAGTCTGGTCGGTTCCGTTACATTGGTGCAGTCGGGTCGGTTCCGTTACATTGGTGCAGTCTGGGTCGGTTCCGTTACATTGGTGCAGTCGGGGTTAATATGTGGTTCCGTTACATTGGTGCAGTCTGGGTCGGTTCCGTTACATTGGTGCAGTCGGGTCGGTTCCGTTACATTGGTGCAGTCGGTGGGTCGGTTCCGTTACATTGGTGCAGGTCGGGTCATGGTTCCGTTACATTGGTGCGGTCTGGGTCTGGTTCCGTTACATTGGTCTGGGTTCTGGTTCTGTTACATTGGTGCAGTCTGGTTCCGTTACATTGGTGCAGTCGGGGTCGGTTCCGTTACATTGGTGCAGTCTGGGTCCGGTTCCGTTACATTGGTGCAGTCGGGTCGGTTCCGTACATTGGTGCAGTCGGGGTCGGTTCCGTTACATTGGTGCAGTCGGGGTCGGGTTCCGTTACATTGGTGCGGTCTGGGTCGGTTCCGTTACATTGGTGCAGTTGGGGTCGGTTCCGTTACATTGGTGCGGTCTGGGTCGGTTCCGTTACATTGGTGCAGTCGGGGTCGGTTCCGTTACATTGGTGCAGACGGGGGTCGGTTCCGTTACATTGGTGCGGTCGGGGTCGGTTCCGTTACATTGGTGCAGTCGGGGTCGGTTTCCGTTACATTGGTGCAGTCTGGTTCCGTTACATTGTTGCAGTTGGGGTCGGTTCCGTTATATTGGTGCGGTCTGGGTTCGGTTCCGTTACATTGGTGCAGTCTGGGTCGGTTCCGTACATTGGTGCAGTCTGGGTCGGTTCCGTTACATTGGTGCAGTCTGGGTCGGTTCCGTTACATTGGTGCAGTCGGGTCGGTTCCGTTACATTGGTGCAGTCGGGGTCCGGTTCCGTTACATTGGTGCAGTCGGTCGGTTCCGTTACATTGGTGCGGTCTGGGTCCGGTTCCGTTACATTGGTGCAGTCTGGGTCGGTTCCGTTTACATTGGTGCAGTCGGGTCGGTTCCGTTACATTGGTGCAGTCGGGGTCCGGTTCTCTTACATTGGTGCAGTCTGGGTCGGTTCCGTTACATTGGTGCAGTCGGGGTCGGTTCCGTTACATTGGTGCAGTCGGGTCGGTTCCGTTACATTGGTGGCAGCGGTGGGATTGTTCTTCCAAGCTGTGAACACATCCAAACCACCATCAGGATCCAAGATCAGGAAAGGAGACGTCGGTCCCCCCAGGGGAGATATGGACCTGACATAGGTAGGTTCGTTACTATGGTGCGGTCTGGGTCCGGTTCCGTTACATTGGTGCGGTCTGGGTCTGTTTCCGTTACATTGGTGCGGTCTGGTTCCGTTACATTGGTGCGGTCTGGGTCCGGTTCCGTTACATTGGTGCGGTCTGGTTCCGTTACATTGGTGCGGTCTGGGTCGGTTCCGTTACATTGGTGCAGTTGGGGTTGGTTTCGTTACATTGGTGCAGTCGGGGTCGGTTCCGTTACTATGGTGCGGTCTGGGTCCGGTTCCGTTACATTGGTGCGGTCTGGGTATGTTTCCGTTACATTGGTGCGGTCTGGTTCCGTTACATTTGGTGCGGTCTGGGTCCGGTTCCGTTACATTGGTGCGGTCTGGTTCCGTTACATTGGTGCGGTCTGGGTCGGTTCCGTTACATTGGTGCAGTTGGGGTTGGTTTCGTTACATTGGTGCAGTCGGGGTCGGTTCCGTTACATTGGTGCCGTCGGGGTCGGTTCCGTTACATTGGTGCAGTCGGGGTCGGTTCCGTTACATTGGTGCAGTCGGGGGTCGGTTCCGTTACATTGGTGCAGTCGGGGTCGGTTCCGTTACATTGGTGCGGTCTGGGTCCGGTTCCGTTACATTGGTGCGGTCTGGGTCTGGTTTCCGTTACATTGGTGCGGTCTGGTTCTGGTTCTGTTACATTGGTGCAGTCTGGTTCCGTTACATTGGTGCAGTCGGGGTCGGTTCCGTTACATTGGTGCAGTCTGGGTCCGGTTCCCGTTACATTGGTGCAGTCGGGTCGGTTCCGTTACATTGGTGCAGTCGGGGTCGGTTCCGTTACATTGGTGCAGTCGGGGTCGGTTCCGTTACATTGGTGCGGTCTGGGTCGGTTCCGTTACATTGGTGCAGTTGGGGTCGGTTCCGTTACATTGGTGCGGTCTGGGTCGGTTCCGTTACATTGGTGCAGTCGGGGTCGGTTCCGTTACATTGGTGCAGTCGGGGTCGGTTCCGTTACATTGGTGCGGTCGGGGTCGGTTCCGTTACATTGGTGCAGTCGGGGTCGGTCGGTTCCGTTACATTGGTGCAGTCTGGTTCCGTTACATTGTTGCAGTTGGGGTCGGTTCCGTTATATTGGTGCGGTCTGGGTTCGGTTCCGTTACATTGGTGCAGTCTGGGTCGGTTCCGTTACATTGGTGCAGTCTGGGTCGGTTCCGTTACATTGGTGCAGTCGGGTCGGTTCCGTTACATTGGTGCAGTCGGGGTCCGGTTCCGTTACATTGGTGCAGTCGGGTCGGTTCCGTTACATTGGTGCGGTCTGGGTCCGGTTCCGTTACATTGGTGCAGTCTGGGTCGGTTCCGTTACATTGGTGCAGTCGGGTCGGTTCCGTTACATTGGTGCAGTCGGGGTCCGGTTCTCTTACATTGGTGCAGTCTGGGTCGGTTCCGTTACATTGGTGCAGTCGGGTCGGTTCCGTTAATGGTGCAGTCGGGTCGGTTCCGTTACATTGGTGGCAGCGGTGGGATTGTTCTTCCAGCTGTAAACACATCCAAACCACCATCAGGATCCAAGATCAGGAAAGGAGACGTCGGTCCCCCCAGTGGAGATCTGGAAATATTTTATTGAAATAAAATCTTGCAACCAGCTTTCATTTTATACAAAAATACAAAAAATAAATAAATACATACAGTATTCAATAAACTGGAAACATAAACAAGAACAAGAACAGGACACATCTCTCCCTAAATCAGATATATGCTTTCTACTGAATAATAACAGCCTGTATGGCTTTACTAACTGGGCAGGTAAGAAGCAGAAAAAAAAAAAGTAAAAAAACATCACCAAGACCCTTATGGCCCACTTATCAAGCATTAAATTCATCCTCCCCTTGTAGGGGAAGCAACTTCCTCTAAACAACAACAGCCTTTATGGCTTTAAAAAAAACACTACTTGTCTACTCAACCAAAGCTAAGGAACCCGACCTTCAGGTACAGTGGAGTTATGGACCTGACATCAGAGTTCCCGGAGCTGCTGAGGATCGTTCTTGCACACCATACCCCAGGACTGTGTCTGCGGATCAGTACCTGGAGCTCAGGCAGCGGATTTGGGAGGTGCTTTGGAGAGGAGCCCTCCAGGCTGCTGGTATGGACAAGGGGGCAAGCAGGGGCGGACTGACCATTTGGAAACTCAGGCACTGCCCGAGGGCCCGGGGTCAGTAGGGGGCCCCATGAGATGCCCCTGGTACCTTTCATAGGCTTTTTTGAGTTTGGGCAAGGACACAGGGGCCCCATGATCCCCTATTGCCCGGGGGCCCCATGAGTTGTCAGTCCGCCCCTGAGGGCAAGTGCTATCCAACCCCAGGGGAATGGGCCAGGGACCATCGGAGGTTATGGATGCCATTCCTGGGAGAGCGACCCCAGGAGCAATGGATGACTGAGTTGGACAGGCTGGTCCAGCAGGAGATGGAGCTGGATGACCGATATCGGGCTCTGCAATGGTACACAGAGCAGGAATATTTAGGGGTGACAACAGAATGCTCTCCGGAGGGATAGGACTTTGGTGGCCCTGGATTGCTGTGGGAGAGCCTTACAGACCATTTTGTGTTTGGTGATGATGGAGAACCTACCCTGGAGGACCTGCGGGAAGGCAGAGAGGCTATGTTCTCACAGGGGTCTCAGAGCTTGAACCAGATCTGGAATACCTGCTGAGGAAAGAACTGCATCTGGAAAGGGCATACAGGCAACTGCTAAGACATGTTCAGCAGCATGCCCAAGAATCAGCAGTGGAAATTCCAGAGACTGGGGATCTGATAGACTTCTCTGCTGAGGAAACACAACCTGGGGAGCCTCCAGCAGAAGAGAGCCGGCAATAGAGCCAAACATTACTGAGCTCTGCCCAGCACTGGTAACATCTTCTGGGCTCCACGGGCAGGAGATGGTGAACCCCCAACTCCAGACACCAAATTCCAGATCAGATCCATCGCCCGGTGCCGGGCTCTCTGGGATCGGATCCATCGCCCGGTGCCGGGCTCTCTGGGTTTGGATCCATCGCCCGGTGCCGGGCTCTCTGGGATCGGATCCATCACCTGGTGCCGGGCTCTCTGGGATCGGATCCATCGCCCGGTGCCGGGCTCTCTGGGATCGGATCCATCGCCCGGTGCCGGGCTCTCTGGGATTGGATCCATCGCCTGGTGCCGGGCTCTCTGGGATCGGATCCATCGCCTGGTGCCGGGCTCTCTGGGATCGGATCCATCAGCTGGTGCCGGGCTCTCTGGGATCGGATCCATCGCCTGGTGCCGGGCTCTCTGGGATCGGATCCATCGCCCGGTGCCGGGCTCTCTGGGATTGGATCCATCGCCCGGTGCCGGGCTCTCTGGGATCGGATCCATCGCCCGGTGCCGGGCTCTCTGGGATCGGATCCATCGCCCGGTGCCGGGCTCTCTGGGATCGGATCCGTCGCCTGGTGTCGGCCTCTCTGGGATCGGATCCATCGCCTGGTGTCGGCCTCTCTGGGATCGGATCCATCATTTGGTGCCGGGCTCTCTGGGATCGGATCCATCACCTGTACAATGCTCCATCTATGAGTGGCTGATCGCAGTCCCCCCCCCCCCCGGATCCTCCTCCTGCAGTTCAGGATATTATGTGGCTGAATATTAATGAGCGTCCTGCGGAGCGAGATACTGAGCCGAACACTTACCACCCGAGAGGAACAAGGGGGAGGGGGGCCAGTCCCGGGGGTGGAAGGGGGTTATTGGCGCTGGTTGCCATTGTGTGAAGTCCCCCCCCCCATGTTATTCTCGGTATCCCCCCCATGTTGTTCTCGGTATCCCCCCCATGTTGTTCTCGGTATTTCCCCCCATGTTATTCTCAGTATCTCCCCCCCCATGTTATTCTCAGTATCTCCCCCCCCATGTTATTCTCAGTATCTCCCCCCATGTTATTCTCGGTATCCCCCCATGTTGTTCTCGGTATCTCCCCCCCATATTATTCTCGGTATCTCCCCCCCATGTTGTTCTCGGTATCTCCCCCCATGTTATTCTCGGTATCTCCCCCCCATGTTATTCTCGGTATCCCCCCCCCCATGTTATTCTCGGTATCCCCCCATGTTATTCTCGGTATCTCCCCCCCATGTTATTCTCGGTATCCCCCCCCCATGTTATTCTCGGTTCCCCCCCATGTTATTCTCGGTATCCCCCCCCCCCCCATGTTATTCTCGGTTCCCCCCCCATGTTATTCTCGGTATCCCCCCCATGTTATTCTCGGTATCCCCCCCATGTTATTCTCGGTATCCCCCCCCCCCCCATGTTATTCTCGGTATCCCCCCCCATGTTATTCTCGGTATCTCCCCCATGTTATTCTCGGTATCCCCCCCATGTTATTCTCGGTATCCCCCCCCCATGTTATTCTCGGTATCCCCCCCCATGTTATTCTCGGTATCCCCCCCATGTTATTCTCGGTATCCCCCCCCCCATGTTATTCTCGGTATCCCCCCCCCCCATGTTATTCTCGGTATCCCCCCCCATGTTATTCTCAGTATCCTCGCCATGTTATTCTCGGTATCCCCGCCATGTTATTCTCGGTATCCCCCCCATGTTATTCTCGGTATCCCCCCCCCATGTTATTCTCGGTATCTCCCCATGTTATTCTCGGTATCTCCCCCCCATGTTATTCTCGGTATCCCCCCATGTTATTCTCGGTATCTCCCCCCATGTTATTCTCGGTATCCCCCCCATGTTATTCTCGGTATCTCCCCCCATGTTATTCTCGGTATCCCCCCATGTTATTCTCGGTATCCCCCCCCATGTTATTCTCGGTATCCCCCCCCCATGTTATTCTCGGTATCCCCCCCCATGTTATTCTCAGTATCTCCCCCATGTTATTCTCGGTATCCCCCCATGTTATTCTCGGTATCCCCCCCATGTTATTCTCGGTATCCCCCCCATGTTATTCTCGGTATCCCCCCATGTTATTCTCGGTATCCCCCCCCCCATGTTATTCTCGGTATCCCCCCATGTTATTCTCGGTATCCCCCCCATGTTATTCTCGGTATCCCCCCCATGTTATTCTCGGTATCTCCCCCCATGTTATTCTCGGTATCCCCCCATGTTATTCTCGGTATCCCCCCATGTTATTCTCGGTATCCCCCCCATGTTATTCTCGGTATCCCCCCATGTTATTCTCGGTATCCCCCCCCCCATGTTATTCTCGGTATCCCCCCATGTTATTCTCAGTATCCCCCCCATGTTATTCTCAGTATCTCCCCCCATGTTATTCTCCGTATCCCCCCCCATGTTATTCTCGGTATCCCCCCCATGTTATTCTCGGTATCCCCCCCATGTTATTCTCCGTATCCCCCCATGTTATTCTCAGTTCCCCCCCCATGTTATTCTCGGTATCCCCCCCATGTTATTCTCGGTATCCCCCCCCATGTTATTCTCGGTTCCCCCCCCATGTTATTCTCGGTATCCCCCCATGTTATTCTCGGTATCCCCCCCATGTTATTCTCGGTATCCCCCCCATGTTATTCTCGGTATCTCCCCCCCATGTTATTCTCGGTATCCCCCCCATGTTATTCTCCGTATCCCCCCATGTTATTCTCGGTATCCCCCCCCATGTTATTCTCGGTTCCCCCCCCATGTTATTCTCG